CCATCCAACGTCCATCCAATGTCTGTCTGTCCATCCATCCAACGTCTGTCCATCCATCCAACGTCTGTCCATCCATCCAACGTCTGTCCATCCATCCAACGTCTGTCCATCCATCCAACGTCTGTCCATCCATCATCCATCCAACGACTGTCCATCCATCCAACGACCATCCATCCATCATCCATCCAACATCTGTCCATCCATCCAACGTCTGTCCATCCATCATCCATCCAACGTCTGTCCATCCATCCAACGACCATCCATCCATCATCCATCCAACGTCTGTCCATCCATCCAACGACCATCCATCCATCATCCGTCCAACGTCTGTCCATCCATCCAACGACCATCCATCCATCATCCATCCAACGTCCATCCAATGTCTGTCTGTCCATCCATCCAACGTCTTTCCATCCATCCAACGTCTGTCCATCCAGCCAACGTCCATCCATCCATCCAGTTTTCCTATAAACAAATCATAGAAGTATTTATTTGTGAATGGTCCATCTGTCCATCCATCCATCCATCCATCCATCATCCATCCAGTTTTCCTATAAACAAATAGAAGTATTTATTTGTGAATGGGTTTGATTTTTGTTTATTCTATCTCTTGACCAGACTTTAAAATAAATCCACGAGGCTCCGTTCAACAATATTGAGTCCATTGAGACTTATGTTCAGTGAAAAACAAAACAGAAGAATACCAACAGAAACTCGGTCAAAGACTTGAAGGTATTTATCGTCTGAAGGGGAAACAGTGAGGATGTTTTTATTGCTGTTGTTTGGCTCTTTTGTCTGTGGCAAAATATTTCATGACCCAGTGAACAGATTTTAATGTAACTTGCAGAAAGTAATCACTGTTACTGACAATTAATCTTTGGAGTTGATCACATTCAAGATGGCTGCTAAAGCTAACTGACCTCAGATTAAAACCTTGTTATAACAGTTAATTTTACAGATAATGAGCTAAAACTTGGTGTGTTGGTAGCTGAGGCTCTACAGAGCCCAACATTGGATAAAAAAAAGTTATCTCTTGGTCACATGTTATCTTGTGGCCATGGAATAATTATTGCAGTCATTTCCATGTAGAGGCTGTTGATTGTTTACATGGACAAGTTTGAATTAATTTTATTTATTTTAACATAGGAATGAATGACATACTGCAGTCTCTTGTTAGGCATGAAGTAATTCTTAGCATTACATATTGCAGCTAAAGGACTGAAGTTGGATTGGTCCAAAAAGCTTTTTAATTTCATTTCATTTAATTTTTTGTGAAGCTAAACTCACAGGCTGCTCTCTCACGCTGTGGAAGAATCTGACTTATCAGGAACAAAGTGTTTCCTGACATTCACATTGGGCGCTCAGGGACATCTAATAAATACAGTTAGGTTCATTTACAAATGTAGTCTTTTTACCTGTTTACTGAAACATATTCACGTTATAGCTCTATAATGTACATGGACATAAAGTGCAGACTTTCAGCTTTCATTTGAGGGTCTCCACATTAAAACAGGATAAAGTGTTTGGGAGTTTCAGCTCMTTAACATGTGCCTCCCTGTTTTTAAAGGGACCCACTGAATTAAAACTGAAAGTCTGAACTTCAACTGCATCTGAATTGTTTTGGTTAAACTTCACTGAGGTAATGTTTAGAACCAAAATTAGACACATGTTGTCTCTGTCCAAATATATATGGACCAAACTGTACTTTGAAAGATGAACCATTTAGATTTAATAATAATAATAATAATAATAACTTAAACAATGTCTGTATCTCCCACAATTAAACAGCAATTATCTCATGGCCACAAGTTATTTTTCTCATGGCCACGAGATGGTAATGTGTGGGATCGAGATAAAAAAGTCCTATCCACTGTCACACTGTAGAGTGATCCTCAACACAACACAATAAAAAACTTTTACCAAATGTTAGGCCTWCAGTTTAAATCTGTTTGTTGGCTGTGAATTAAAATCTTTGACTCAATGTGTTTGAACTGATTTGTACCTTTTCCAGGAGTCCTCTGACACACAGAGGTCTGACGTCAAAGCAGGAGTGGTAAATGCAGTTTATTTTCACGGTTCTTGGGGTTCACCAACAGTTCTGTTTTTATTCACCGTTATGTTTGTTTCCCACAGAAGACGAATCTAAAGCGTGCCTCCATGTTCAGCCCTGTTCCAGTGAGGAAGAAGCCAGCTGAAGAGAGAGGCAGACAGGCCCTTCAAAATAAAACTACTGGGAAAGATGTTTCCTTCAGACCGTCTCTTCCTTTCCCTTGTAAAACCAGTGTTCGGTGTGTGAGACCTCCGTCCTCTACCACTYTATAAGAAGAAAAAAGTACAAATCTAGTATTTTATTTTTTCAGACATCACACCACTGACATTGATTTAGCTCTAAATCACAGAAACATGAGCCAATCTTAACCAAATTCAGTGTGCATCATCAGGGACACCTGCTTGTTCACATCACCTGTCACCTGCTGCTGAAAGTTGAACAGCAGGAAACCAGGTTTTTGGCTGCTGTGTCAGCAAAATACTGACGATTTTTTAACAAAACTTTCACACAGTAATGTTTGTACAAAGGTAATCATGTCTTATTTACCAGTCATGTGTGCATCATGACAACAGATACACATTCTTGTGCTTTTTGTGATGCTATATCAATCTCTTTAGATTCTCAGAAGCTACACGGGACAACGAGTTCAAGGGGTCCTTGATAAAGACCCCTGCACGCATGTCACCCTACGTAACCTCCAGTACCCCTCTGAAGCAGACTGCAGAACCAGAGAAGTGCCACAGTGTGAGGATTTCAACCTTYTCTACTCAGAAAACTCCAGGTATCTCTACTAATCCTTGCAGGACATTAAAAAAATTACATACTGTAAATAAATATATATAATATAATATTTAATGTTTTTTCCTTCTTTTAAAGGACTGTTTGTTTTCACTGGGAACACCAGCACTCTGGGAACTCCTGGAACACAAAAAAAGATGAACTTTGACCTGAAGGCCAGTTTGTCACGTCCACTCACCTACAAGCCTCACAAAGGTATGACTGCTCTCACTCCCTGTGACTGTAGATGTGTCTCACCCCCTGTGACTGTAGATGTGTCTCACTCCCTGTGACTGTAGATGTGTCTCACTCCCTGTGACTGTAGATGTGTCTC